TTTTTGATGTCGTTTTTTGCAGAAGTTCTGGGGGGCCACCGCAGAATGCCGGCCCCACTTCTGATAAAGCATTTGAAGACTGGTTGAATGACGACTTTGCTTCCTATCAAAGGTAAATGATTTAGATGGCATTCAGCAAAAGGCCTTGAAGAATCTTTTTTTTTAATGCCTTCAAATCAATTTTTGAACTCAGAATAACTGCCAGGACAAGTCCCTGCAGTTTCCTTGGCAACTTTTTTGGGCTGTGTCCATTGCATTTAGCCATTGCTTCCTTCTTAGGGCCAAGAAACAGTAACTGGCTCGAGGCGGGACTAAAACCTGGCTCTCTCCCCATTTCTAATCTGTTGTCTTTAGTCACTATACCAGACTGTCAAACTCAAGGCCCGGGGACCGAATCCGGCCACAGGGTGCTTTGATCTGGCCCACAGGGCCACCCTGGAAACAGGAAAGGACTGGCCTGTAGTGCCGCCAGGCTGACCGGGCACTGATTTACAACCTGGTGGTGTCGTTGGCAGAGTGCTGCAGGAGGCCGTCACAGCCCCTCCTGAGCTCTGTTTTCTCTAGCAAAACAAATGTGCTTGCCCCTCCACTGTCTAGGGCAGTGGACAGCCTGTACTGCCATCCAAGGATGCTCTGTCTGGTCTGAGAGGGATGCCAAGGCTCCTCTGGAGGGCAAGGATTGGCGCTCTGCCTGGTCTCGCCTTCCTCCGCTGGAGACAATGGATCCCCTGGGCTACCACAGGCGCCCCTGACATGAGTGACGTCGAGCTGGCCATGCCCACCCTAGCCACGCCTACCCGGTCCCTCGTGGTCAAACACAACCCTGATGCGGCCCTCAATGAAATCGAGTTTGACACCCCTGCACGATACCAATGTTTCCCAACCTCAGCAACTTTAAACTTCATGGACTTCAACTCCCAGAGTGGCTGGGAGTGGGTGGCTGGGGAATTCTGGGAGTTGGAAGTCCACGCAGCTTAAAATTGCCAAAGTTGGGAAACTGCTTGCCCTGCTCCTAAGTGGCCTCTCCAAAGCAGCACTTTGAAGAGCAGCAAAGTATTTTGATAATAAGTAGCTTAATCTAATTCTTTCCTTTTGTGTTCCAATTCAGTGGCCAAGAAAACCGCTATGTTGGGTTTGGGAACACAGTTACCCCTCCCAAAAAGGAAGATGACTTCCTGAACAACGCTATGTCTTCTCTCTACTCGGTAAGTCAAAATTCTTTATAGGTGTGCTAATTTAGGATGTTGTTTTGCTGTCCTGTCATTTCTAATATATATTTTTTAAATGGTGTAATAGGACTGGGTGTTTGTTAATATGATTTATTGGGTTAGGGATATTTTTTTCCCCTTTCTGTCTTCACTGCAAGTTGTATTGTGTTGGGGGGGTGCACTGAGGGAGCGCAACCAATCTCGTTGTACATATTTTGTGCACTGACAATGCAGAATGATTGTTAATAAAATTAGGAATCCTAATTCTAATATGATTGGATTTTACTGCTGTCTGGAGTAGAGGTTAAAAGATTTTGTTCTGACCCAGTTCCCCAAACACCACAAAGCCTCTGTAGTTGAAGCGATGATTCCTTTGTTAGGAGCTCCAGCAACCCCGGGAAAACGTTTTATCTTTCACCGCAACTAACAAGCCTCTCCGGCAGGGGAGATGAATAATTGTCTGCCACACCTACTTATCTCCACCCCCTGCCTTTTATCCCCAGAGCTAAGGTGGGACTTCACTAGCAGCAGTGGCTTTTCTGTCCCAAGGACCAGCCCATAGATTTCCACTGCTCTCCTCTCCTCTG